GAGAATAAATATTTTTGACCAAGTGCTTTATACACTGTAAGTTCTAGCTTTTTGAGGTCACCAGAAAACTTTCTTCTAGCAATTGAGTGCTTTCTCAGAGAGAATGTGGCCAGATTCTTATTTCCTCTTCTCTTCCTTTTCCCTTTCTTCCTATTTCCAAAAGAAGTGTATCTGTCTCAAACCTTTATTTCCTCAGCTGTTCCACTTTCTTTGTCTTCATTTTCAATCTCTCCATCACTCTCTCTCCTCCTTTTTCCTTTCTGTATTTCTCCACAACTCACTCCCATCCTTAAAATCCTCAGATGCAGACACTCAGCTGCTGGGCTAGTCTCAAAGGGCCATTTTTCTTGTTGGGTCCCCCTCAGTCTTGCCATTCTGCCTAGCCAGGAGTGACTTGGTGGCAGACCTAAGTATTATTTGGGTGGGGTAGAATAGGGATGAAAGGCCCTTTGGCTTTTCTGTTCCTTCCTCAGGATAATCTAGCTAAAGATGTTAGGCTGCTACTTTATTTTAGAAGAGCTTTAAGTCTCTATCTAGCAATGATTACATAGGAATAATAATTGCTCAATAAGTTCAAGGCCTGAAAATTAGATCAGTTGTACTTCTTTTATATTTAATAGATTTTCCTTTCTTTATGCTCCTCCCAGAAAGAGGAAAAGCAAGTCCCAGGACATTTGTTGTAATCATGTTCCTATGACCATTTGAAAGCTGTTCCTTAAACCTGGTTCTTAGGAACAAGAAGAACAAGAAAAGGGGCATGGACTGATCAATGGGGGTCTGTGCTCAGACATCAGGAGCACCCCCTTCTGGGAGGGAGTCACCACCTCAGCTGGAACTGAGTCAGAAGAAAGGAAATCCAGAGCTGCCTCCTGGTGCTGACTAGCATCCAACCCCAACATCTAGTCTGTACCTTTCAAAGCTTTGTGGCGGTCCCCAACTGAAATTCAAACAAGCTATAATATTCATTGGGTTACTTGCTGTTATTGCTGCTGGTATTTGGTTAATTTTTTAATGGTTTCTGACATTTATAATGTCTCATATGAGCACATCTTATTTTCAGAAATAAAGTCATTTGCAGGTGGTTTAAGAAGATGGTCTTGTTATAAGTAGGACTTATTTGTTACATTACAAAAAACCATTTGTTGTCAAAATGCTGTATAATAGAGAAGACCTCAGTAGGGAGACTAAATCACTTATTTGTATGAAATTGATCTTGGCTATATTTCTATAATGATGTGTTTCTTATAGAAGTCCAGGAAGAAGCAGCTTGGATGATTGTGGGGCGAGAGATGAAAAATTTTCCAAGTCCATCAGTTTTACACGAGAATCAGTTAATCGTGTTTCAGAGACAGAGTCAATTGATGGAAATTCACCGAAAGGGGTTAGTGTATGATATCCCTTTTAAAATATATCTGATGCTGTCATGTGATCATCATAATGTAAGATCAAATAAAAACAAAGTGTACAAAATTTTTAAAGTTTAGGATGTCAGGCTGCTCCTTTATTTTAAGAAAAAGGTTTTAAGTCTTTAAGTAACTGAGGTTATATGGGAATAATATATTGTTCTGTTCAGAGCTGGATATGGTGCAAAACTACCAGACAGCTCCCTGAGCATCTATCTATAAGGGGGATAGGCATCATTAAAAATAAAATATGATAGAGAAATTCGTAGTTAGCAGAATTTTTCTCAGGGTAAGTGGTGTGTGGTGAAAAGAATTTGTTTTGAAGGGGGAGATGAGAACCCTGAGTAGCATGCTTGAGTAACAGTAAATGCTTCGTAAGCTGACTATGAAAGCAGGCACATCTGGTTAATTACTAGTTAGTTTCTTCCTTTATTTTTTCAAATATCATTATAAGCCCATTGTTCCCTCCCCCATTATTTATTTTTTTTTAATACTCAGTTTGTCTCCTCTGGCAACAGGAGCCCCTTCAGGTGGGCTCCTTTGTGTTTTAGAAATGATCAATAATCTTTGATGGCTTCCTTTCTTTCTGGCACAACAACATGTCCCAGGCACACTTTGTACACTTACTGTCCCAGACTTAGTATTAACCATTTTCCTAATGGGCCATTGTTCTTAGTGAAGAATGGTATTTGGAGACCGCACTCTAAGCGCTGAAAGTGCTCCTACTATAGAGCTTTCATTCTGGTGACTGGGGATGTAAGTCTGGGGCCAAAGCTGAATTTCTTGGTTTAAAGCAGAGCTTTGGTTTCAAATTCTGCCTCTGCCACTTGCTACCTGAATGCCCTTAAATGTTAACTTAATTACTTAACATTTCTATGCTTTGGTTTTCTCAACTGTAAGATGAGGACTATAATACTCCACAGGGTTTTTTTTATAAGGATGACATGAATTAATATATGTGAAATTGCATTAAACAATCCCTATTACACATTAAGTATTCAATAACCATAAGCTATTATAATTGAGGGTGAATCTACATGTGGCCAGCAATGGGCCTTTTCTAATTTCTCCCATGGAGCTCTCAGCATCTCCTGTGAATAAATTTGGGGAAACTTTGAATAGAATGTGTAAAGGCCACCAAGTTATCACCTTGTTTCAGGCATCATTCATCTATTTCAGTCAGATTTTGTGTTGTGGATTTCTTGTAAAGGTATTTATATAGAGACCCTTAGGAACTTACTACTGTAGTAAGGGAGGTGATTCTGGATGCTAATCTTTTTGTATGTTCTCATGGAGAAAACCAAACCACTCAAATTTGGGGAGGTAACAGGACAGGAGGTCTCTTGCAGTCTCCTGATCCTTTTATAAAAGTCTGACTTTGAGGATTGGATTCTCAAAATTACTAATCTTGAGTCTTTCTTACAACCTTCTTGACATTGTCTTCTGTACGCGCTCTTAGAATAGTTAATCCATTGGTTCTTCCTTCTAGTTTTGTCCCTGAGGGAGGTCATATTTCATTTAAGGAAAGGGAATGGAATGTAGAGGAAGATTTTAATGTTTTAAGATTGGTCATACATTCATTGTCATTTTCAGGTTATGGGATACAATATAGTTCAGTCCTTTTTTTTTTTTTTGCATTCAAGAACAGTGTGATGAGATAGATTCTCATATGGCAACAAATATCATATGTCACTAACTTTGTTTCCTTTTTACTTGTAAGAAAGTTGGAAATAACAAAAAGTGAGAAATAACATTTTTTTCTAAGATGAAATAGGTCTTAAGTTATAAAATTAATATTCTTTGTAAAAATTCAGGAAATATAGAAAAGAACACAAATAAAAACTGTTCAAATGTCCCACGAAAAGATAGTGACTGTTACTTTTCCTACAAGTATTTGTCTATATTCCTTATAATAGGAGCCATACCTTAATTAGAAAGAACAGGAGAAATATGTGTGTAAACTTACTCAGCATCTGCTAAAGAGGCTCTGGATCAGCTAAGTAGGCATGTTGCTTTGCAGTGTGGAACTCCCAAATAAATCAAGTCTCAATTTTAGCAGTAATCTCTGCTTGAAGAATGAGTTCTCTGATGAGGGTAGTTTAATCCTTTCACAAATTGTGTCCTGGGTCCCAGTTTTTATTCTGTTCTCTGAGTGGCCAATAGAAACCCATATCCTCCCTGGAGTTTCACTGCTACTCAAAGATCTGGGGCAGGAAGTGTAAGGATTACAGATATGCTTCTTTCAATGCAAGAAAGTACTTTGCTATGTAGTTGATATTTTTTATGCTGGTCTATTAAACCTAATTTTAATACTATTCTACTTGAATACTAACATAGCAATAGCATTCATACTTTAATGCCTAACATTAAATTTATTATAGAAACGACATCTCTTGATTAAACCATTCTCAGAAAGTATAGATAGCATCATATATGGAATATATTTTAATGCCCAACCCCTTAGTTCTTTAACAGCAAAGCCAATTGTGTTCTTAAGAGTTTGCTGTGAAATTGTTTTCTGTTGAACCTCTTTCCTCCACTGTACTCTTATGTGACTCTTATTCTCTTTATTTGCTTTCTCTTTCCCCTGTAGTTTCTGGTCTTGAGAATGGGGGAGTTCTCTTCCTTGAGATGATGGGGCAGGTATTGTCTGGGGATACTAATCGGGTTTGACTCCTCTCTCCCTTGCCCACTTTAAAGAATCTACTGCTCTATTATTGTTGTTCTCTGCTCCCCTTTCCCTTCTGCTCAAGTGATTCACGTGATGTTGACTGTGAGTTCTTCTTATATGATGTTCTTCTTAAATTTATTGTTCAGTACTGTGTCAGAAGATGATTTCAGAATATATTATCATATATTATTGTTTACCAATATTTATGGACTGTATTGGAAATGTGATGCAAACATAACAAACACATTTTCCAAAGAGCTGTATTTCCAAGAGTCTTTATTATTAAAGATCTCACTTTAAAATCTAAGCCAATAATCTGTTTTTTAAACTGGATTGTTTTCCTTTTAGGGGTTAGGGAAAGAGGAACCCCCAAGTGAGAAACAGATCAAAAAGAGTCCTTTACTAACTTCAGAGAAGAGGTTAAGTAGAGTGCCATCAAAATCACTGGACTTGAATAAAAATGAATATCTTTCTCTGGACAAAAGCAGCACTTCAGATTCTGTTGATGAAGGTAAAGAATTTCTTATAAATTTTAATAACATTTCAGTTATGTCTCTTAATGTTTATCTTTGTATTGGGTAAGGGCAGTTTGAGAATTTATTCACATTCTCACTCTATAAAAAACCAAAGGAATGGTGGGAGTTGATAGAAAATAGGGGAAAGAAGCTGCCAGATCTAACCCATCTCCACTTTTCAGAAGCCTGGGTTGTGAGGATTTCCATCACATTTAGCTATTAAAATTCCAAGCCGGAAGTCAATGGAGATGGAGCAGTAGCAATGGAAAAGCAAACCTGAATAAAAATCTGCATGGTGTTACAGACACCATAATTGTACTTTCTTTTGACTACCAAAAAAAAAAAAAAAAAAAAAAAAAAAAAAAAAAAAAAAAAAAAAAAAGAAGAAGGAAAAAGAGAGAGATGCAAAAGTAGAGAATATAATAAAAATAAAACCCAGCTGCTTAAAGGAAATTTTATAGAAAATCATGTTCTACTTTCTCTAAGTTAATACTGAAAACCTGGGGCTTGTCATACTTACTAAGTGGGCATTTTAAGGAATCTTTCTTTTTTTTTTTTCACTGTAAGATTGTTGACATCTGAAGTCAGTGGGGAGACATTGGGAAAGATACCAAGTAGTGGCTACTTTCCACTTTCAGGAAAGGGTACAAAGCCAGTGGATTTTACTGTATCTGCTTTCTATCTGGCAATGCTCAGAATATCGGGAATGGGGACATTATAGTGGTTTCGATCTGTAGGACATGACTGTATTTGCTAGTTCAGTTACTATTCAGATTAGACCTGGTATGGGATCTCCTGAAGTCTTTCACTGTAAGTGAAAAACAAATCCATGAAAACCAAAACTAAATCCAAGTCAAATCTAAAATCAAATCCAAATCCAAAAGCAAACCAAGACCCAATCTCTGAAAACCAAATCCAAATCAAGTTAGACTTTGGTTTGGGAATACTGTAGTAAGTATCTTTAATGAAAACTAAATCCATGATCTTGAAAATGTAAATAAAAATTCAGTAGTTCCTAAAAATCATAGAATGCATTTGGACAGTTGTTGAGTTCTTTTGAAAACATAGTTGAGAGTTTTTTTTAAGAGGATTGAGCTCCATGAATGACTAGACTCTCTTAGTGTCCTTACCATTCATGCTCTGGTGTGCTGCAGTGTGTATGAATTAGTAATCTGCCTGACTGAACCTCTGACTTTAGGAAGACCTACTCTGGCACCCAGTGGCCAGATAGGTAAGTGACACCAAAACAATTTTTCCCCCTCTTCTTTCTCACCTGCTCTTTTATAAGAATGGTCCTCAAAAAGAAGCTTCCTTATTGGTCCTAAAAAATTAACATTAATGATAAGTTACATAAGGGATAATATATCTCATAGAAGTTGTGTTCATATCTAGAAATAAAGAATAACAGCAGTGTAGTTGCTGTATTGCATGTTAGCCCTGGTCACATTTCCTTTTTGCTGATGTCCCTTTAAAGACTGGTTTTACAGCAGTAAGACTTTACATGTAACATTTAACCTTCTTTTGTGGAGGTTTTCTTTAAGGTGCACGTAATGACTTTTTCCTTATTAGATAACAAATCAAGTACTTCTGTTGCTTCCCCTAAGTAAATTTCAAAATTTCAGGCTTATCATAAGTGGCTATTATAAGGAATCTATTTTTTATTTTCTGGAAGTTGTGACCTTATGAAGATACTTGAAATCAGTGAAGGGGGGAAAATAAGAAAGGTCAAAAGAAGAAAACCATCCCAGGAAATCTGTGTGTGGGTTTAGGGAGAGTTACGTAGATGGCAGAGTATTCTAAACCAAACATCATCTTATTTAAAATCATAGTATTTTGATCTACCATTGTAAGCAGTCTGAGTGAGAAAATGAGAGGATTTCCTTTTTTTCTCTCTTCTGCCACCTACAGATTGTAATCTTTGGGAGAGTACCATTTTGAAGGAGAGACTCTTTCTAGACTCATGTATCCTCATGAGATATCTTACAGAGGGGCCTGAAACTAGTGTGCTCCCTTTGATGTGGATTTTAACTGAAGCCCATATAGGAAAAGTTAGCCTAGAATCTGCTTTGACTCGTTCTTTTTTTAATGTTCTTATGCTATGGTAGGCCACCCTCCAAGATTGAAGGGAGCCTTTTTTGGGATATTTCTGTACTTCCAGAAATGGGTTCTGGGCTGCCACCTCCTGAACAAAATGCTGAGCATTGTGTTTTAATCTGTTAATCCATATATGAACTTGAAAATTTGATATATAATATTTCATAGAATAAGCTGTAGAAGAACCTTGTTTATCTAGAGTGCTGTTGCTGATAGGCTTTCTGCAGCTTATTAACTACATGCTCAGTTTTGGGTAGGAGTGCAGAGAATTTGAGAAGATGCTAGGAGTTTCCTGGCAGATGAAGATGAGTTGACACAATGTATCCACATCTACAAGTATAATGAAATTGTGGCTGTATTTTTGGCTAAAATAACATTTCTGTTGCTATCAGGGTTTACTTCTTTCACCTGCCCTGCTCTATGCGTGTCACGGATAGTCTGTGAAACATCTGCCCCAGGAGGTAGAGCCTTGAGTGGAAGCTGACAAACTGGCTGATGTCATGAGATACCAGGGCTGTGTCATGACAGAATTAAGTTTAGTTTTAATTGCTTAGATCGGAACTTGGTGTGACAGGGTGCCCTAACCAAAGTCACTTATGTTGAGAATGGAAGCTAAGTGAGGCAAAGATTAGGCTGGGGGAGGGGCACATAAGAATAACAAAATTAGAATCCATGATCTACAGCTGACAGACCAAGATGAATTGGAAACTCATGCAAAGAAAAATAGGAATCAGATATCAGGTGATGCTAATTAATAAAGGTGAGGACAAGTAAGCCTCTGGGGAAAGCAGAGAAAAAGCCATGAAATAGTCTAGCACATCAGGGTAGCACCATGAGACTAAACCAGGTAACCCTGACATAGTTACCTGAGGCAGGTTTTTAAATTTTTTTTTTCAACGTTTATTTATTTTTGGGACAGAGAGAGACAGAGCATGAACGGGGGAGGGGCAGAGAGAGAGGGAGACACAGAATCAGAAACAGGCTCCAGGCTCCGAGCCATCAGCCCAGAGCCCGACGCGGGGCTCGAACTCACGGACCGCGAGATCGTGACCTGGCTGAAGTCGGACGCTTAACCGACTGCGCCACCCAGGCGCCCCCCTGAGGCAGGTTTTTAAACAACACTCTCAAATTGAACTTGGTTTTTCACATGTAAAGAAAGCCCTCAAACTATGTCAAGAAGACAGCAGGTCACCAGTTTTTAAGAAGATACAGGATAGAACAAATTGTGCGTCCTTAGTTACTTAATTAAACCCCAAATCTGCTTTTCTTGCATACCTATCTGGTACATTTTTCGTGAACTCTCAAAACACTGTCCACATAGGGTTTTAGTTCCATTCATGCCCATGTCCCTCTCATATTTATTTATCTGAATCACTTTTCCCATCCTTTCCACTGGCTACTTTCAAACTGATAGATTTGAATATTTTCAATTCAAGAGATGTTTCTTCTTTATTGGAAATAGTAACCTGCTCTCAGGTTGAGCGCTGTTCCCTTCCCTACTTGAAATACCACTTGCTAGCTTCATATGTCACAGCAATATCACTGGTGATCTTACTTGGATAGGAGGCTTTAAAGTACTGTGAATGTCATACATAAATAATCCCAGATGGAAATAGTTTATTTCAGGTTCTTACTTCCTTGAATTAATTTCCATACAAAAGGTATTAATTTCTAATAGTAATACCACAAATTCCATTTTGTCAGTCATAATATAGAATAATTGATCAACTAATTGAGTTTAAATGAAATATGAAAATGTAATATTTATGTGAGTATAGTTTGTTTCCTTCATAAATGTGAATAGGAAACTTACTTTTGAAAAATTACAGTTTAAGAGTTCCTTAGAGAAATGACTGCTTCTAGGGCTGAGGTGGGGAATATGCAAAATGAGGCTGGAGTTTCTTGTAAGGCCAGAAGTAAAGAAATGCTTCAAAAAAAAAAGAGGTGTATCAAAAGGGCATAGGAGTCAACCTGAAAGAGCTCCTAATGGCCAAAGTAAAAAAAAAAAAAAATTGAGCAACAAAATATATAATGATAGTATTGGATTATAACCTAAAGTATAAAATAACTATTCATGAGTCCATACTGATACAAATAATCAAATAAATATGTAAATGGGGGACAAAACACAAGCCTTCCTTACAGCGTTTCAAATAATATACATACATACTCCCCCTTCTACACTTGATCTTAGCCAAAAGGCCGAGAAGCGATCATACTCCCCCTTCTAGAAAGTGGAGCTTAATTCTCTTTCCCTTGAGCATGGGCTGAGCTTGGTGACGCATTTCTAACAAACAGAATATGGAAAGGTAAAAATGGTAAATTTACAGAGGAGGAGCCTGCCAGACACCACCGTAACCAAATGATCAAGGTTACCATTATCATAACTCATGCTGATACCCTGGATCCCCTGAGTTTGATGAGAAGGGGACTTCACCTTTGTGGGTGTTCTTCGCCAAATCCACAACCCCAGTACAATCATGAAAAAACAGATGAACCCAAATTGAAGGACATTCTACAAAATACCTGACCAGAGTTCTTCAAGTGTGTAAGGCCATTAAAAAACAAGGAAAGAGTAAGGGACTATCACAACTGGAGGAGGTAAGGGAGATAAAACAATGAAATGCAGTGTGGTATTTTGGATTGGATCTTTGTACAAAAAAAGGACATTACTGGAAAAGGGTAACAATAACACCGAGCTTCATTGATTGTAAATCTAAAATTATTCCGAAATAAAAAGTTAAAAAATATGGTTGCAAAATGGAAGTCCTATAAATAAAAATTGACCATAAGATACTTTTTTTAAAGCACTTTCAGTAGTCATTCATTCAGAAATAGTTATTTAACACTTTTATGTGCCAAATACTTAATGTATATAGGTGTTTAAAATTGACATAGCCCCTACTCAGATGGAACTTAGAGTCTTATGCAGGAGAGAGGCAATAAACAAGTCAACAGGCCAGTAAAGATAATAATTACAATTCAGGATAAGTTCATGAAGGAAATGAACAGGATTAATAGAATCATCTATACTTGTTTGTTTTCTTTGTGAATATATCAGTAATTTTTTCAATGAACATACATTCTATTTCAGAAAAATCTCAAGCCTAATTGGGAAGTTATCTCAGAAAACCTTAGCATATTACCTAGTTTCAGTGATTTATTTCTCTATGGAAGGAGCCATTATTTGAAATTTCTGTGACTAGCTTTTGCCTACACAAAGTATTGTTGCAGGGAGAAGGTAAATCAATATCCGTCTGATATCCCTAAGTTCTTTGCACCTGTAGCAAAATAGAGAAACACAAATCATTTGATGAGGGAGAAAAAGGAATAGTTGGGGTGAAGGCAGAACTAGAAGAGTTTTTCTGATTCTTGAACTACTGCCTTTTGCTTGACCGGATTGCTTCCCATGGCTTAATATTGACAGATGGCCTACACAGACAGTTGTCAGAGCATGAGATCTGTAATATGGGGGGCTTTTGTCACAGTTTTTATTCTGTATTGATGGAGCGTAATCCTTGAAATAATAAATAATCCTAGTCCTGAAATCATTAAAATTTCATATGGATTGCTTTACTCTATTTCCTTTATCAGATTCTTACTCCTAGCTGTC